AAGATGGAGCCATGATGGAGCACACGAACCAAATGACCCAAGCTCGCCGAAGGAAGCAAGCAGCAACAGCTGGCAATTCTCTACCCCCGGAATTACGTGAAGAAAACAAGATGGAGCCATGATGGAGCACACGAACCCGAATGCACACACGCGTTCAAAAACAAGCGGCCAAGCATTGTTTGACACTCTTACTCTTGTGGGACACTCTTGTAAACACTTTTTTGCAGGACACTCTCGTACAAAATGCTCTTGTCGGACACTCTTGTGCGACATTTCGTAGGATACTCTGACCCAAACCTCCCATGGTGCTCTGCCGAGATGCTTTTTGGCACAAGTTCACCGAAGGAAGCAAGCAGCAACAACTGGCAAGTCTCTATCCCCGTATGTGAAACACATATATGATAAGACCTTAAACATTATTTAGTGGAAAACGTCGGGATATGATTTCGGCAGAAAAGCACCAGACTTGCTTTCTTGTTTGCACAGTTCATGGTGTTTTCCTCTCCTTCAAGAACTTGCTTCACCATATAATATTTTCCCTGCGCCACTGCACGTCTTGGACGCAGCCTGACCATCTTTGTTAGAGGTCTTTCTTTGAGATCTCTGACCTTTGGGCATCTGGGTTCTCTTGGATCCGGACAGAAAGGCAAGGAAAGAGCAGCCTCTTCAGTAGCTTGTTCAATGCCTCCCACTCCTCGAAACATCTTCACCTCCAACCCGGTACCAAGGACCTCTGGGACCAAACGACCCTGCCAACCAAGGCCGAGCCCATTCATTCGCCTATGCAAGATCAGGCCACCCAAGGTGACCCGCGAGGCAAGCTCAACCTCAAGGATTGGCCGAACAAGCCGGGCAACGTCTCTTTTTGTTTGACCCATGTTCACCCGACCAGCCCACGAGCCCGAATGACCAAGACCATATGCCATATGCCATGACCCACAAACATATCCATGTCATTCCACGCACATGCACACGCACACGCACACATTTTCCAAAGATCTGAGTGAGGCATCATCTGGGGCACGTCACTATCGCTCCCCTTGAGATGACTTCACCCATCTCGCATCTCCCAAACACCTATGGGCTCTTTCCCTGAAAAAAGTGCCAAATCCGCAAATCATGTGAAGACCACATGCACGCGTCTCTCCGGAACGTCGTCGCTATTTATGAAAGAAAAACACGTCTGCGGTCGTCTTTCTCGCTGTTCCAGTTCCAACATGGACAAACCAACCAGTAACCAGCTGCAGTCTGCAAACGGTCCTTCAGTCTGCATCAGTTTTCGAATACCACAGACCTGCCACCAATCGGGTCGACCGCCCCCAGGAAAGAAACTCAGAGAAGGACTCAATCGGGTCGTCTCTACATGGTGGTCATCTACTTTCATCCCTTTGCTACTAGTAGCGATTGAACAACCTTGCGACCATGTCTATTTTGCTCTAAGCTTTCTTGGAGCTAACTGAGTGCTGGGGTTTTCCATTGCTTCATTACAGTGGTCACCTGAGTGTAGGCCAATGTCTTTGTATCTATCCCTAAAGCCACCAACATGGCCAGAGCCTTCGTTCAGAATCCTCATCGGACCATCCGTTGGTCCGAGACGGACCGGACTCCTTCCGACCAATGACATCCAAATACATCCAAATACCCTCAAACTTTGGGCCAAACTGTACACTCTTTGAACTAATCCTGGTTACGTGGATGGTCATCCGAACTACGACCTCTTTGGTCTTTTTTCCACGGCTGGTCCTCCGAGTCCTCGGACGGTTTGAGCTAGCCATGCCACACAGCACTGCCAACCATATGACTAGTTCAGGGGATCATATGTACTATACCTATCCTTATCCACATACCATCCACGCAACCAGGTGTACTTTTTCTCAAAATATCCTCTTCCAAAACTGCCTCCACTCTAGGATGAGGGACGGATGGCACGCTGCCGATGGACTGGCCATAGCACACGATCTGCCCAAAACGCGGACAAAACGATTTTGGAACAAGTCTTGGGGGGGCAAGAAAGGCGTTGCTTTCCGGAATCTGGAACTCAAAAAACCATACACTCCATATGATTGGCATATCCCTACATTTGGATGGCTTCAGAAGCCAACATGCAGGTCCATGGGTCGTATAATTATGCAGACCTATGGACTGTCTGAGAGGTTTTCAGGAAGCCGAGACGGGATACGGAAGGACATGTAGGACAATGAAACAGACCTCAAGTAGATATGTAGGATGACATGAAATGTAGGAGCATCAATGTCTTGACCTAGCTGTTTCTTGTCCTCAATGTAGGAGCATGACTTGAGGTTTCTGTTTCAACCCTAAACCCTGTAGACATCCTGTCGGTCGGAAACGGACGAAAACCATCGAACACATTCGAACACAAAGTGGTTTGGGGATGGTTTGGGGGGTGTTTTGAGACAGAGTCTTGTCTTGCTGAAAGTGGTTCTAACGAATGGCCTATCTTCCGCGCCGCGAAGATAGGAGGCTACAACTGGACAGGTCACCTACCTTCAGTTTCCATGTTCTTCCCAACCTGGCAAACCTAGCACCTTCAAGAAGTTAAATCTGATGCAATGTTTGGTGGTCGAATAATTCTAGATCTGATGGATCGGGTCTGCGGTAGGACTATATAGGATTCATGCTTTTCACAGGCGGGTTTCTTGGTAGGATCTGTGATGGAAACCTGGTCAAAGCCTTGAGAAACCACCAGGTCAAGCTTGACCCTTCCCAGGCAGGCCTGCTCGTCTGCAAGGCTGCAATCGTTAGAGAGGTAGTGGTACCTCGAACCGCATGGAACTCTCTGTGAAGAGGCACCAGTTTCTGTTTTTCTTTGGCTTTTGATTGTTACACGCTTGTTGAACAGTCAGGGCTCAAGTCAATTCACCCATCAAATGCCACTGAAGAGTGGAGGCAAAGGATGCTTTCAATGGAGGAAGGTACCAACATCCTTTATTCGATGATGTCAAGGGGTTTATCAAGGAATGTACCGGTTCCTCATTTGGCTCAAAAGTCTTGAAACATGGCCATTGTTTTGTTTTAAATTTTCTGTTGAATTTGTTCCGTATTTTTTAATATATATCTTTCACAATACAACCTATTTTGCTAGGCATATCACTGCTGCACGGCATTACCTGAAGTGAGGATTTACATGGATCTACAAGTTCCCAACCTAATCACCTGTTCATACCCGTTCAGTTTTGATCTCCGAACGTTTTGCGACAAAACTTTCAGGATCCGAACGCTGCTTCGATGTCGGCATAGAGATCCAACTGACGAGGCCGGGAAAGGAGCCGCTCCGTGGTTGCATGGTCTGGTCCTCGTCATTACAAAAAAACTCAAAACATACCAGCTAGCCAGCTAACCTTTGTTTCATTGGCAATTCGTCAAAACTTTCAGCACGCTCCAAAAAACACACGGATTGACACACAATATTCCCTCAATCCGATCTCCGAGGCAAAGAATTCGTCGCCCGACCTTCATACGGATTCATACGGATTCATACTTACATACTTTCAACAAACCATTGCGTTTAATGCGATCTCAATGGTGGCAACTTCAACACCCGCCCTCGCCTCGGTGGGTTGCCCAGTGCTTTCTCCATAGCCGCTATACTCGTAAGCCTCGGCCGTAGCGCGACGGCCAAGGCTTCGCCATGTAAGGGAACAGTTTTTGCCGTTGTGGGCAAGGCCTAGGGGGTCCAGGTCCTTCATGCCGCTCCCACCATACAACCAGCATGGGATTTGCATCAAGAAAGCAAATAGAAAGATTGATGTGTCACGTGGCTTGTGCAGTGGCCTAAGACATAACACTCAAACATCCGCTCAAAAACCCACTCGGAAGGCATCTGACAAAAGGTCACACGGATTCTGGCGTTAGCAAGCTGCTTCCTAACAAAGCCAAACATGACTGACCTCCTGGGCTGCCCGGCAAATACATCACACTGCAGGCGAGAACACATCTCCCTGGCGCAGTGCGTCCCTCTGATTGTGCGCGCTGATGGCGTTCGCTGGGTCAGCGCCGGGTGCGGATACGCGGTTGCCCCTCACACAGCTAATGATCGCGCTGCACATGTTCGCAAACGGGAGCACTTGCAAGCCGCGACTCCTCTTGGGGCTGCAGGGATTCCGTGCACTGATTCTCTGAGCCGGTTACGTATTCCAAAGCTCTACTGTGCTGAACGCATCGACAACAGTGTTAATCTTTGTGCTCCAAGACGCTTCAAGATCCATATTATAGGTCGACAAGCATCCCCAAATGAAGCTGACACCACTGGGTGTGACTTCGCAACAAACCTCGAACCCCCTGACTGCACTTCGATCAACTCACAGCTAGGTCCAGTGGCGGCCTATGATTCGATGCTGAAAACACAGTCTTCAGAAGCCACTTTGTACCACCTAGCTCTCGTCTGATGACACTTCGATGGCTATCAAAATTCCTGGTCAATCATCCTAGAAAAAGTGACAAACCCTGTGACAAACCCCTGGCAATTCCTGGTTCATGACAACCCCCCCAACTATTCGATCAATCATGAGCTCATGAAAGGATTAAACCATACCCAGCAGCTATGGTCACTGGAAAGCCTTGAAAGGCATCCTACGAATCTAGAACACCAGCATGATCTCTCAAAATTCTTTGGATTTAATGGGGGCCATGTTCCCATTTCATGTGACTTGGAGAACACCAGTTGGATTGTGCAAGTCCTTTCGGTGGAAGTCAAAAGGGGAAAAAAACAACGAATCTCACCGCCGTACTGATCCCTCACGGGCGACTGCGGTGAACGGGGCCTGAGATGATAGAACATGATGCCAATGTCGGTACTATTGCCGTGGCTGAACAAAATCGTCCTGCAGGGCGAGGGACCTGGAGAAACACCTGGGTTTCAGCGGCCTGCCAGAAAAGACACTCCGTGGCAGTGAAGGGTGGAAAGAGCAGCTTTTCCATGGCGTCGCTTCTGCTCAAAATCAGCCTGGGCAATCCAGCTCGACTGGGGATCGAACCACATTGTGCCATATAATTCTTGACCCTTCCCACATCGAACCCACTGATGCTTTCGGTTCTCGTCAACGCGTGAACGCGTCAACCCGGTTGGATCAACGGCCTCCGAATGAAAAAAGGATCGTTGAAGTCGTTGAACTCATGGTTCGAACGATGTATCGTGAGATGAGGTGAGATGACGTTGTCTCAGTCCGGACTTAGTCAGTATAGTCACTGCAAAAGACTTGATCTGTTTTTTCCTTTTATGTGTCAGTATATCAGTACATCTTTGATTTTGCGGGCTGTCCATCATTGGAGCAGCAGGTTGCCTCCGTTTCTGCCCACGTTTGCTGGGTCCTACTGGAGTCTGCGCGCTTGAAGTGAAAGCCGAGGATCACGTTCCCTGCGTGAAAGCGATCACTCATCATGTGGGGCCCAGGCAGAATAGATCGATCTCGGACATCGGATCACCGAGGTGTTTGGGGAAGAAAACATCGCTCCTTGGAGGGGCCCAGGGACAGGCTCCTTTGATGCACTTGAACAAGAGTTTTGTGAAGACATCCTCAGAAATCACGGTTAAGCCGGTTAAGCTGTTGCCAAGTTCTTGACATGTTGTAAGGACACCAATCCCAAGCAACATGGTCAGCGGGGTCAACTAGACTGCTGGGACCCTAAGGCTCAAGCATTCTGAGGACTTCGAACAAACATGGTAGGTCTTGACAGGTCTTGAGCCCAGAATGGATGGCCGGTCCTTCTTGGTGTCCTCTTTGCAGCCCAGGGTACTCATGCTGTGCCAGGTGTGTGTCGACCATGGGTTACCCCTCGACAAAATGTACTTGGGTTCTGGGCATCCCGTTCATCAGAAGCTATAACAAATGATGGTTGGAGACCTTTCAGAGACCAACACCCCCAAATAGTTGAAGTTCGGTGATAGTTCAGTTCTGTGATAGTTTTTTTACAAACCAAAACAGTGGAAACAGGCCGGTCTCGCAAAGAGGGATAGAGAAGATCCAACTCTTGTCGCCAGTCTCCGTGTGGTTCACCACATAGGGGGGTGGTGTTGGACGAGGGTCTTGGCACCCATCGCCAGATCCGAATAATGGGAAGAGCACATCCTCAAGCCCAAACTCTCCAAAACCCAAGTGGTTGGAGATGGTTGGAGGATTCTCCCTCTTCCTTCACCTCAAAAAAACCGCTCTGCCATGCCCTGCCGGCTCCTCCCATCCCCAAAAACGCCGCTGTTTGTCGAAAAAACACGCCTCTCCGTGTCCACATTCGCACAGTGTCCACAACGATGCCCTGGGATCACCCCGCTGAGACGAGCGAGCGGGCCGCGACGCCGCTCGGCTGGGCACATTCTCAGGGAGTAAAACGCTCATTGGTTGGGCTGAGATGACTTGTATCTGGAACGAGAAGAACGCATTACCACATCCTATCATTATCTCCATTTATATGAAAAACAACACATTTCGAGAAGGTGTCGAAATAACACCTGAGCACCCACAATCCTCTCAATCTGAGTTACTTCGGGTCGCATTACTTGGGGTCGGTGGCGGATTTGGCCAAATCTGAGTTGGCCACCCGCCCAGATCGTCGTCATAGGGAATCTGCAAGAACTGCGTGGGAATCGTCGCAATATTTGCATGAGGAGATTAGCCAGTCAGGCCTCAAGGCTGAGAAGGTGCCCTTTTTCATGTGTACCCTTGTTGGCTTGTCACGCTTCAAGGATTCCCCCCCAAAAAGCTTTTGTCAAAAGAACTCAAAAAATATTTCCGTAATCCTCCGCTTGGGAAGGATCAAGTGTGACCATAAACCTGAAGTTTCTCGTGATCTGATCATTGATCTGCCTACTAGATGGACTTGATCTGCCTAGATGGCTTCGCACCCAAAAGAGGTGAGATTTAGTGGTGAAGGGTGACCCAAGATGACCTGTTAGGAGGGCAATAGGTCAAAGACTTTCAAAGCCAATTTGTGCAGATATGATGTACTGTAGACTGTAGAAGGGTGTGCCTTCAAAACACTCCAAACGACACAAAATACTACGAGTACGTTCCTCGACATCCCAGTGGATAAACATATTCCGTCCCAAGATTCCCAGAAAACCAACCCTAAACGAATGTCCGCCAAATGATATTCAACAGTTGAGGACAAGGACTCCAAGGACTGATTTCCTGAAGATTCCTCGGCTCGTGTTCCCAATTGCTTCAGCAAAAGTATTGATACAAGCAAATTCCTGTCCTGTGCCGTTCGCAAAACCCATCACAATCCAATGTTTTGCAAATCCTCTTCAGAGACGGCTGTCCTCCTAGTTCAACACTGCAACAACTGCCAACTATCTCCAGATATGCAGCACTGTAGAACTGTCATCGACTTTATATCTGTGATCAAGGTCCAACGTTCCAATGTCCAAAGCAACGGTCCACCGTTCCGAGGACCCGTGACCCAACGGTCTCCAACCGACCTCCGACTCCGGTCGCTCGGTCGAGACCGGTCGGTCCGAGACCGCCGGTTTGCTTCGCCTCTTGGGCCAGATCCGGCAAGGGGGAGAGGCCATAATCACTCTCCACCAGGAAGACCTGCCGATCGAAAAGGATTTTCAGACGGTCATATCGGAGAGACACCGGCAGTGGGGTGTTTTCTTCTGAAATTGCTGTGTGTTTGTGAAGAATTTTTCCCACCAAAGAGTCAAAAAACGCAAACAATATCTCCGCCAAGAGAAGGATCTTTCATCCATGGCATTTTCGTCTTGAAGAACTAGATGCGCCTCACAGTATTACCTCTTGTATGCTCTGTGTTGGAACGACCGGTGGTACATCTGATGGGGGCACGTTTGGTCTTTTAGGGGTCTACTTCTACATGGTCTCCCGGGTCGTCGTACCCCGCAACTGTAACAAGCGGAAGGATGAAGAACCGGTGCGAACGTGGATCGATCGTGTAGGAAAAAGAAGCTACGAACGGGGCTCCTGGCCTTACTAGGAGCAAGGATGCTACTAGGCGCTCCTGGCATCACTACAAGAAGTGTGTGTGTGTTCTTTAAATTCTGGGTGCTAGAATGGTCTCAGAGGTGCTGAATTTGAGTCGAGGAAGAGTTGAGATTTGGAAGAAACCTAGGTTTTCGATATTTTTCGATATGGGTGTTCTGTGGTTTTCTATCGTTTTGGATTTCAAGTGCTTAACCTGTGCTTCTTTGTTGTCATTGAACACATTGACCAAGAAAGCCGAACACAGATCATTTCGGTGTCAGTCGCAAGCCAGCTGACCAATCTTTACACGCTACGTACAAGAACCTTCCTTTTGGTTTGCAGTGGTCCCTCAGTGCTTTCAAGCCCATCTACACAAGAACTATCATGTCTTTATGAATAGTAACATACTATATATATATATACCAATACCAACATTTAAACAAATACGCATTTTAAATGCATATATATATATATATTTATACACACACGCAAATTACAGCGAGCGTGGTCTCAAAGAGACCCCGAACTACCGGTCTTTCAACGGCTGTTCCTATAGTACTAGCTTGGGCTTCCAAAATCTCCGACACCCACCAGTAGTGGGCTCAAACTATACAGAAAGAACCCGAGGACGTGGTTGATATATGTTGATAACGCCATATATTCTAACCATGGCTAGTGGAGTGCCTCCACAAGTATCCTCCCAGACAAGACCTTTGGGCCGATTTGGGTATGGTATGGCCTGGCCACCGCTATGAGTTGGGCCCCTGCCTGTCTATCCTCAGTCACATGGTAGCCCGGCGGCCGCGGTGGAAAAAAGGCCACCTCAGGGTGTGGAGCAGCTGGTGAAAGGGCGGATTTTGCCACACATTGATTGTGCAAGTATAGAACAGCTAACACAAGCATACACAAGCTAACTATAAATTCATTGATACTCAAAATGCTAGCTACAACCAGCTCATATATAGTAATATATATACCCTAAGCTTCCAGGGACGAAGTTTAACTTATCCCATGATGAAAGCCGAAGTTTAACTTGTTCCCTCAGAAAGCCGATGTTTTACTTTCTTATGTTTTGTGATGGTTTTCTTTAGGCCATGAAGAAGCGAACTTGAGAGCTGACCATTGACCATACTCGGACTTTTCCGCAATCCACGATCTCATGTTAAGACCGTTTGTGGCCACGCTTCCGGTCGATTTCCTTGATCAACCACGTGAGGGTTCGGAACCGCAAACGGGCTCTGTTCATAATGCCATCAGCCCTACCGCCAGACTTAAATTTTTTCTTTTGGGAAGACGCTGCTTTGCACCAGCCTGCCCACATGTGTGCTTTTCCAAATCAGTGAGAAACACCGTGCGCTATTTGTTCATATGTTTTTCCACGTCCGGCCTTTAATCACTCCCATGTGATCTTCGTCGCAATACGTGTGATAAAATCTGCTGTTTAAACCTGAGTTTGCCAGTAGACTCCATGACCATGAGGGTACTCAACCATTCAAGCTTTTACATTACTAATTCAGCCACGGAGCGTTTGTGTAAGATGTCATCTATCAAAAGGTGGCTGAAGGCCTTCGAGATGTGGGATGAAACAAAGACCCGTGGATGTGTTCAAAAACCACGTACATTGCGTGCCATCAAGTCACATGCCACTTTGGGACCAGGACCCACGCAAGTTCACCTCTCCTTTTGCAAACTAGTTCTCACAGTGCAGATTGAAACAATAGCACAAATTTTTAACACTCATCTCAGCACAAAAGAGTCCTGACGCTGGCTTGATGCAATCGTTGAAAAGTCTCCAAGTAGGATCTCCCTGCCCTCTCAATTTCAAGAGATTCTTCTCTAGACCTAACACGGACAGTAGGATCACTTGAGGCTGGATTGAAAAATAGAAATTGAACAATATCTTTATGAAAAGGGACTTAAGTACAGCATTTCCAGACTCAATAGAAAGTAACTCGAATGACATATCGATGCTATGGCTTGACACCGGCAAGCGACAAGAAGCGCGATGCCCTCTCAGTCAGGCCAAAGAAGCGGTTGATCGCTTTCCTGGGCCGAAGTGGGTGTCGGGCTCTGGTCTTGCCAGTGAAATCACTATTTTTCTTTGGGGTGGGTGGCACCTAATTATTAGATTTACTAGATATAACGAATATCCCAGCACCAAGTTCCAACCAACAGATCGATTTGCTATTAGATTCCAAATGTCAGCGCTGCTAGAGACAAATGTGAACGATCATCTGCCACCATACCGGGGGGTGGAAGATGTTGCGATCGTTCCAAGGCATTCTCCAACCAAGATGACAGAAGTCTGGCGTTATACCCCTTTGTGTTGAAGTAGGCACCATATTCGTCTTTGAAGATTGTGAAATAGGAAAATCTCTTCTGGCTCGAGTAGACCTTGTGGGTCCGTCTCCACAAAGTAAAGTCCTCAAATGCTGTATTCAAAGCATCTCGGTATCCAGCGGGATCGTCTCCACGGCGCACCGGTCCAAAAAAATGCATGTGAAGGAGCATAGCCCTAAGCGACAAACAAAGCGAATCAAATATTCTACGTCAGATCTATCGTGTTCAGACAGCTCAAGCTTTCCATGCCACGGCACATCACTGATCCATTTGAGATATGGAGCAATGACAAATTCAATATGTGTAGGGTGCAGTGCCGGATATTGTCCAAAGAGAAAAAATGTAAGTTCACAAGCGGACTTTAGTTGAGTGTTGACAACAAAGCTGTTTTTTCTAAATTTATCTACATTTGCACAAGCTGTTGTGGTAGTACAATTGCATTACACATCACTACACCATCCGTTTTTGCTATCCACCAGATCCCAATACTATGTTCAACATAGTTTCCATTCAGGAAAGCTACAAATAGGATGTGTTTGGAGCTCCCTTGCCACAAAATCATCTGTGTTCAGCTTTGACGGAAGCCATCCATCATAGTTGAGATATGAAATTGGACCCTTGCAGGAAGCATCGCACCGATAGCATACTTCATTTCTCTTCCACCAAGAATGGTGTTGGAACATGTACCGAATCCAAACTTGGTCGCCTCGAATTTCAATGACTAAAAACCTTCTGGAGGCCACTGCATGCTCTGCGCAACGGTTCAGGGACTCCACGATGGCATTCAACATTGGATAAATGGTATCCTGCAAAGACCAAACCTTTTGCTGTTCTACAGCAAAAAGAAGAAAACGGCTTAGCCGTGTGGCTCTAGGCCTGAACAGGACTAGGTTGAGTGAAAATCCAATGATCTTCTCGTGTGGGCCATTGATCAAACCCATGGCAGCTTCGTCTCCATGCAGCCCTATCGGGATCACAGGTTTGCCAGCCAACCTTCGAAAGTTGGCACTTGTCACTGCCATCTCATCATTCACTTGCTCTAAATGATTCCAATACCTGTTGACCACTTCATCAGGTATGACAAGCCCGCATGATGTGAACAAAAAATCCAGCAACTTATGCGGAAGCTGCACAGGGAGAGTCGCCGGACAACAAGAACCATCTGCTTCCTTCAGGAAGACAGAAACCCTGTCAGGTTCCTGGAATGACAAAGTCGTGCAAGACTTAACTGCATCTATTGTAGCTGTCAGAAAACTGTCACAAATAATATCAAATAGCCACAACAAAAATAAATATGTTGCTAGTTTAGTCACCCCAGGGTCTAATGGAAGGTGCGTCGATTTGAAGAAGTCACGGGAAGAATTCTTTCCCGTGCAATAGGATGCTAGCTTTGCCGTCCAAGATCGAGTGCGTCCCCGAGCTTCCTCAAAATGGTACATCCAATACATACTGTAAGTCAACAAAGCTCAATTAACTGCTAGGTCCAGGTCCACCTTCTCATAGTCAATCGTTTTTTTTCAGTCAAGAATCTGCATAGGTAGCCCTTGCTGATCCCATAGCTCCCTGCGCTGATGTTGCCTGAGCAATTTCACAAAACAGAAAGTGTCCGGTAAGACTTGTTGTTTAGATAAATCAGATGTTCTAGATTTACAAGTGAATGGTTTGTGAAGACAATGTCTGCAAAACTTGAGCATTGTTCAAATTAAGTGAAATGTTTCAGTTAAGGATCGCTTGCAGCCAATTTTTCAATAAGATCTCGCTCCAAAGGACCTGCGTATCCATCACAATCATCACCTGCGTGGAATATGAAACAATTTTATGTGTAGAATGTGCAGCTTGTGCATGCAAACCACATTTTGGGTTTTCCTTATTCTTCAAGGCTTCAGCATGCTTCTCAAGCGGCCTCGCCGGTCTCGCGCCAAGATTAAATAAGGCCCACCAAAGAGAAACAAAACTAAACACGCATCATCAATTTGAAAATCAACATCTCTCGATCTCAAGAGTTTCTGTCAATGACATTTGGTTAAGTTTGTCATTTGCCTGATGGGCCCTACATATGGCGCAGAAAGCACTTGGTGGACAAGCTTGACTATGTGCTAGTCGGCATGATGCCATGCCCCACACAACACAAAATGTGTGCTGTATCCCTGCATGGGCGCACGTCGGCTTAAACACAAATTGTCATTCGAAAATCCGGTCACCGCAAAGCGAAGGATCGAGCACAGTTCCAACAGAAGAAACATCTAATTTATTCACGCTACCGTATACAATTACTATATAAACTTGACAAACATATGTGTCTCCAACTTGTGAACACAAGCTAGCTCGTAATTACTCTAAACGGTCTTTAGTGACTTAGTATCATCCTTCTTTTGTCTTCTTTGACTTCTTTGCGGATTTCACCGGTTCGCATGCCTTATCCAAATCCTTCCGGACGGCCTCACTTTTTTCGATCATCTGAAGATTGACCTGCCAATCCAGGAAAGTTAAGTACAAAGTTGACAATCTTAAAGCGGTTTGTTTAAATCAATCAATTATATTGAAATCTAACTTTACTGAATCGTACTACAAAAAACAGCTTTGCCGTGCCTGTGATTGGTCAAGAGCTTTCTGAAGTTCAGCTCTCGACTCCTTCAAAACAAGTTTGTTGTACGAATTCATTCCATAAGTTCAATGGGCACGCTGTACACTATCAACGTTGTTGTCCACCAATTTGGAAAAAACAAATCAACAACAGATTCAATTATAATTTGTTTTGATTTGTCGATCTATGTTTGTTTTGTTTATTCGAATGCTTTAAACATATGTCCCTTTCCTCCAAAGCATTGAGCTTTCCTTCCATGTCAGCGCTGATCGATTCGGCATACTTGTCGCCCCTGAGTAAAAGGTCAGTCAACCCTGCTAAGAAAACTCACACCATAAGATTGAGGACCTGGCAGGTTTGTAAGGTTTGGCTTCAACCCCATAGCCCATTTGATCTTGGCGCTGGCATCGTTCACAGCCTGATAAAACACAAACAATTATATCAGTTTTATTTAACATAAATATCCTCGCCTTTTTTGCCTTTTTCACTAAGTTTTTTGCATCCTCTTCTGCATCCTTGTTCTCTTCCTTCTCCTTTGGATTTTTCTTTTGTTTTTTCTGCTTCTTTTTGGTCTTCTTGCCCTGATCGTACATTAAAAACAACCGAAAACAACATATGATATTCTGAAAAAAATAAAACACATGTGTCAGACCTTGGAATTGTTCTTGGCTTTGCTTTTCTTGCTTTTCTTCTTCTTACTCTTGCTTTCTTCTTCTTCTGATGATGAGGTTGTTCCATCATCGGTGTCCAAACAAGCATATAGGCGATCGATTTCCTCGGTATGTTCGGATTCCTCACTGTCTTCCACCAATGTGAGAAACTGCATCAGCTCCTGGATCAACAATTGAGTACTCAGGAATCACAAAAAGACACAATTCGAAAGACATTTATTCATTGG